TAATGTGTGCATATACCTTTTTTTGAACATATACCATGCAATGCTCAACATAGCACTTATTATCCAAGCACTTCTTATGTGTTGTGTATATGTATTGTGTAATGACAATGTCAACAGAGGAGTGATTTCAATTACAGAGTTTTGTTGGTTAAAGTAATGAGAGGTTCAGTATGTGGAAGCATCCATTTAACTCCAGGAGGCTTTTCTATGTCTGCATAATGTGTGCATATACCTTTTTTTGAACATATACCATGCAATGCTCAACATAGCACTTATTATCCAAGCACTTCTTATGTGTTGTGTATATGTATTGTGTAATGACAATGTCAACAGAGGAGTGATTTCAATTACAGAGTTTTGTTGGTTAAAGTAATGAGAGGTTCAGTATGTGGAAGCATCCATTTAACTCCAGGAGGCTTTTCTATGCTTTCAAAAGTCGGGCAGAAAAATCTTATTACAAAAGGTGTCTAAGGCAGACTTCAGTTCTCCACCAGGGTGACTCATCAGCTTTGTCAAACTTCGCCCCCCCCAACCGTACACTTCATACCTTTGCACATCATCATTTTTACTCCCACAGCAGATGGTCTCAATGTCCCACTGTGGCTTTGTCATGATGCATCTTCATGCTGCTAGCTCCTCTTGTCCTTCATTTTAGGCGGAGGTCATATGCTCTGACACTCCCTCTTTGCATTTAATTTAACCCCCGTCTTTCTTTCCTGTCCATGCACAGAATCAGACACAGCATGATGAAATAAACCACAGCTCCTCAGACTTTAACAGTGAGTTTCATTGCATTGATAATCTCAAACTGAGTGCATGTTCGGGTTTCACGACAAGGAATCATACTTGCCTCCTTCGTAGATTTGGAGTGCAAGACAGAGGTCGGTGTGTCGTCCTGCCTGCTAACACCCACAGCCTCCCCGAGAGACTCCAGCCGATCTGAAGAACGAGGGATAACCATTAGCAGTGGAGTGTGAGTACAGTAGAGATGTTGCAGATACTGATGCATGCATGCACACAAGTGTTAGAAAACTATGAACCAAAGTCAACAGCTTCTTTGTGTGAAATTCTGACGATACACACCAATATATATGTTAAAAATATCAATTTGGTGCTGATACAGATTTTATTTCTGCTTTGCTTTTTGGGCATTTGCTCCCTTTTAAAAAATTTGCTTTTATGCTAGCAAAACAAAGAATTCAGAATTCAAATGTTCATCAAACTGTCTTTCAACGCAAACATTTTCTCTCTTTTCTGAGTTTTCCTGCCCACTCTCCTCACTGTCCTGCCAAGTAAAAAAAAGAAAAAAGAAAACAGACTGAAACTAAAACCCACACACTCACATTTACACCTCCCATTATTCTCTTTACAGGCTCTGTCTTGTCTTGCAGTTTCTTGAAATACTTTGGAGTGATGTGTTGTCCTTCTCTGTATGTTGTCATTTTCTTCAAAACAATAAAAAACAATCAAACTCAAAGAAGAAAACTATTCCTAAAACTAAAAACTGTTTAGATAAAAAAAAAAAAAAGATGAATTACAAAACTTTAATAACTCTGCAACAGATTTCTCACTGCAGTCCTGCAGAGACCAGTTTGCATTGTAACATTTGATTGATTAAAATTAAATAAATAAAATTGAGTT